GAGGCTCTGCGTGTTGACAGACAGACAGACGGAGGGAAGTCGCTCGGGGGGAAAGAGGGAGAGGGCGGGTTGTTGTTTTTTTTTGTTTTTTATTATTGTTGTGGGTTAAAGGGAGGGTTGATTGGGTGGAGGAGATCTGGGCATGGTCTGGGTTTTTTATTTTAGAGGTGGTTGTATTATGTGGTGTGTGTGTGGTGGGAGGTTAGAGTATGGGTGTGAAGAAAAAAGAAAAAAAGATGAGTGTATTCGCGTACAGTGATTGTTTATTTGGATTTAAGTGTCTTGCTGTGGATTTGTTTTTTTCGATGCTCGCTGTGTTTTTGTTACGGTGTCGAGTCCGCCTGTGATTGTGACACTGAGTACTGGGATGTAATTTTATTAAAGGCTTCACTTATATTATTATCATTTTATTTTGTTCTTTTTTTTTTTTGGTGATTCATTATGTATTTTTGATGATTTGTACGTATGTATTTTTGTGACCAGGCATTTTGAGAACTCCACAACCTTACTCTTCTTGACATTTGCTAATGAGAAATGGTTTATTTAGATTGCTATGTCAGTTATATACAGCGTTTTAAACCATATAGGGAGCACTTTTGTTTAGAAGAAGGTATGTGCTTGTCTGACAATAAGTCATATGCAGAAATAAAAGTATTACTCAGTTATTAGACTCTAAAGTAAACTTCACTTTCACTTTCTACCGGCTACACCAGAACTGTATCCCCATATGCTTTACCTTTTGAGTAAGATTGTACATATTTGGCATTAATTCTGTAAGTTAGTGTTTCCTCCTCTCTATGACTCTGTAGTAGTAGTCATAATAAGTAACGTTTTATTATTTGTGTTATCTTGTTATTTTTTGGGGAAATATTAAATCTGTAATACTCCCTGTGCTGCCAGTCACTGTAAGCAGGAATAGGATCCTGAGCATAGAAATATCCTTCCTGGAGTGGATGCCCTTCCAGTCATGGCTCATGGCCGATTTACTGGTGGAAATGCGGACTTGCCTACTAACGGAAAGATGCAAGGCCCCCTTCCTGAATATTTAATCTTTCTCCAAAAGCTTTGTTCATTCATGGCTTGTCATTCCTATCACACAAGCCTTCAGACAAATTCTTCCATGACGGCATATTCCCCTCACCCTGGTCCTCAACCATATATTTGCATAAATTGATGGTCATGGTGCCAGGATCCAAGGGGTTAACCCATTACTTCCATGCTGGCTAAAATGCTAAATCCCAAAACTTCAGGGATGCAGATGAACTTGGTGGCTTGTGGTATGTTTATGAACTGGCAGCTGGCACTCTTGCTTTTGTGGCATTTATGGTTTTTACTATTTATATGAAATTTTTCCTGCAAAAAGCCCTCTGGCCATCATTGTACCTTGGCATGAAGTCTACACTAAAAAAAAAACTGTGAACTGTGATTGAATTGAAAAAAAGGTAGCATGATATGCGTAATCCTGGTAATATGCCATTCTCAATATACTAAGATTTATATACCATATGGAAGCAAAGAATTAATTCTTTGGGGAGTCATTGTTTCAAGGATATATTTAAAATTTGGGGGAGCCAGCCAGCCCCCTAGTATATGACCTTAATCCTCGGTTCATAATACGCTGTCACATTAGCACAAAGATTTGAAAAATCTTCAGTTGCAGTGTGGAAAACATGATGGTGGCAGATCACATTCTGAGCAGCAGTTACATACAAAGATATTAGGTACTTAACAAATTTATGCCGGTATATTTTGAAGCCAAAAATAAAAGTTTTTGGGCGACTACAAAATCGGACGGTGGGGCTGGCCTGGACTCTGCCCGCCCACCCGCCACGTCCTGCCGCTGGTCAGGGCGCGAGCCCCGATACAGTGTCACACGGGCGTGATGCCCGGCAATTTTTTTATTTTTAATTTTTTTGTTTTATTTTTTTCTGGATGTCTTGTATGTGGGACACCCGTTGCAAGTGGGTTAATCAGATTAGTCTAATGAAAAGAAGAATATGTGAATTTTTAGCTATTTCCACTTACTTCTGTCTTGGATATTTTAAAATTAGATGCCAAGAATGCATGTATACATTCCCTGGCCACAGTGATTTTATTATATACAACGGCTGAATAGCTCCAGAAACTTTGTCATTTATGCTGTGTCAGAACGCCTTATCTGGCTTGTCCAGGTAACTTGACTATCAGGACAATGAGGCCACGTTTGGAACCCTCTGAGACCTTCATTATCCACAATGGAACCAGCTCGAAAGTAAACATTCACCATTTTATTATACCAGTGTCTTTATTTTACACACTACATATGTTTAGTTACTACTTTTTTGCACCTGACAAAAACTAAAATAACTTTTAATAGCAACAATAAAGGACCTTATAAATGCCATATGATTGCCTGCAGATGAGGGCAAGGTGGACAAGATAACAATTTGACCCAGACACTAACGTAACCTAACCTAACCTAGGGGTTCCGAATTGTGAAAACATCTTGTCCAACTTTGAGTTCCAAATGTACATTACCTTGACTTCACAATTTGTAATGGAGATGAATATCATAAATATTCAAAGCATGTTCAAATTTACTGGAGATGGATAATTTTTTACTGTTACTTTGATTTTGTTTCTTCTTTTTTTTCTGATTTATTGATAATTAACAAATATAAACCATTGATGGCAGTGATATTGGCCCTAATAGCTAGGAAGGGACGTAATACAGTATGAGTGCTCAAATTTCCTGGAGTGTGATTTGACTCATTTGGCGCTTAGAAAGGGGGCTTTAGCATTATGCCCATCAATAAACAAATGTTGAATATATCGTGTAAGCCATGACTGGAAGAGTGCCGTCTCCAGGGAGGATGTGATTTCAGTGCTGTACAAGGTATTTGTGGCGGCTGTGACAGCAGGTTGTATTGCGGAAAATTGAAAATTACGAAAAAAGAGATATATGACACAATTAACCAAATGGAGTTAGGATATGGAGTCTGTACAAATTAAATAAGCAATTACCACCTGGATAAAGCAAATCAAAAGACAGATATGGATATTGGAAAATGGCAATAAGGCTAAAAAAGTTTACATAAAATAACTTTGTAAAGGAGAGACACAGAGTCTTGTCACATCTCACACGTGCCCAGCCTACGTATCACTTGCCCAGGATGTTGGCTGCTTATGTAACCCACTGTCCGTATTGTCGGCAATGTGATTTTAGTGATGCAATTGGATCCAATGAGTTAATTAGATACAAGTTTTGAATTATTTTAGGTAATACATAGTGTCCTTGGCCCACTTGATCCCGTGCCCATTGTTGTCGTGGGGGAGCTTAGGAGGATGGAGACTGGGACCCACTGTTGGGGATCACCCCTGCCTTGGGCCGTAGCCATCGACTCAACAAATTTTGTACTGTCTTGTCTTCTCCCCCTTTGCGTTTCTTTATCTTTTCCGACCCCTTCTATTATCCACTTCCTACCATAGCCAGTAATGAATATTTCATTCCCATATTAGAGGCACTAAGGGTTGCCACTTTATCAGCTTAGCCCCACAGCTTTAAATTCTCCGATGTCAGGCTCTCCTTTGTCCTGGAGTTTGAACACTGCTACTTCTACCCCCTCCTCAATACCTACTACCACCTCTGTCCAGTCCAGATCATCCTTCCAGGTCATTAGTCAACCTCCAGAAAACATTCCTCCTCTCCCAACTTCCTCAACCGCATCTCCTCTGTCCCCGCAACTTTCTTCATCTATTACCCCCTCTTCCCTTATTACTATGTTGCAACGTTGTTGTGAACCTCTCGACAGTACTATCTCTTTTAGCATTTCTCCCTCTTCCATACATCCCTGTCCTTCTACCTTTACTATTACCACGTCTACAAACCTTTTGAATACTCTTTTTAGCCCAGCCAAATGAGATTGATTGTTCATGATCCCCTCCACAGCCTTTTATTCTGACAACTTTCTCCTCTTCCAGCAATGCCTCCAAAAACAAGTAGGCAAAGCATTATCAACACTAACTGCCTTCACTGGCAACCCATTCCTGCCCAGCCTAAACCTTCCATCAATACTTCTACCAGAACTGTCTCCATCTCCCTGACAAACTGCCCTATCTGCAACAAGGATTGGTCAGATTGTGGAGAAGACTTGCCTCGTGGACCATGCATTATTAATACAATGCTACACCATTCCCCACAGAGGCTGAGTTCAGTCCTCCACCAATATTGCCAAGATTGCTTTCCATAGACGTTATCTATCCCTTCATGTTTTTAATTTAGAGTGTCCTTAGAGTAATTTAGAGTATTCATATGTTCTGGGCCACAATCTGAGTTTTAGACGCCCTCCCAGAGAGTGTCCATTTAGAGTGATTGGAGCTCCCAAGCCTTCATATGTTTTTAATTTAGAGTGTCCTTAGAGTAATTTAGAGTATTCATATGTTCTGGGCCACAATCTGAGTTTTCCTCTTTTGTTTCCCACTCGTATTTAAATATACTGTGCACAAAAAAAAAAAAAAATTGGGGCAGATAATTAAAAGGGAAAGTGGAGAATTGAAAAATATGTGCAGAAATTCTGAATTCCACTGAGAGAAAGTGGGAAAATAGAAAACGGTTGTGCGTTAACTTGACCTTGCCTACATTGGTGAAGAGAAATGACACCTTAAAAGTAGGCTTAAACCCTCTTTTTAGCCTTATTGCATAAGAAATCACTTTTGCAGCAGTGTAGAGCATAGAGAGTGGGGCAATTTTGTTTTGTTTCCTGTTTTTTTTCGCAAGCAGCTTACTGTTCATGCACGATGATTATTCAGTATAGCACCTGTTGTGATCGAGCTAAGACAACATTGATCTCATTATTCAATTTTTAAAAATAATCCTAACAACAGTCGCAACAGTCATGCTAGTAATCTTGTTATTGATTTATACGTGCATAGCAATTTGCTCTGATATGACTTAAATGTAAGTTGATGCATACCTTACTGCACTCATCCAAAATATTTAATTAAAGAAATACACCCAGAAAATGTCACTTGTGGTTGCTATACTTTATAAACCTATCAAGTATTTTAAAAAGCTATTACATTTGGCAATTAGTTACTCAGCATTCCTG